TGAAGCCTACTTTTCCTTAGTAAGCTTTGTTTGTTTGTTTGTTTTTGAATTTCGCGCAAAGCTACACGAGGGCTATCTGCGCTAGCCGTCCCTAATTTAGCAGTGTAAAACTAGAGGGAAGGCAGCTCCTTAGTAAGCTATAAATCGAGAAAGAAAATAGAATTCTATTCTAACATTAACGTAATATTCTAGCCTCAATATTTTATCTACGCAAGAGTTTATCTCACCTATTAGCGCAAAAAATTAAGCATATAATTTTATGAGTTTAGTCAAACTTAATAAATAGTATTTTCCGGTTATCAAGGATCCAAAAATGGTGTTACTCATAATAACGCACTATTCAATTGTATCAACCCTATAAGTATTTTCTTTTCCATAAATATTTGCTTTGTTTGAGAGTAATACTAAAATGTTTCGGTCCCGGTTCTGGTCCCGCACCGAAAAGTCAATATTTCGGTCCCGGTTACAATCTATTTTCGTTTGCTACAGACTTAAACATTTTTTTATAGTTAATGAGGAGGAATATTTTTGAGTGTTTGAATGAAAACAAGAGGATACAAACTGAAAGCCATTTCGAACCGGGGCCAATAGACTGACTTTTAAGTGGATTGAAACAAAAATATATCTAAACAAACCTGTTTACATTTCTCTGTAAAATGACATCATAGGATTTTCAAATTTGAGAAAGGACTAAAGTGATTGTCAATACACGTATAAAAAAATTGTGATATAACCAATATTTCCGTCATTTTCTTGCCTTTGCTACCTTTGATAAATGTCCGGATATCAGACAGAAATACTATAAAACCGTAATATAAAATAAAATACCTAATATTGAATAAAACAAATAGGCAATTAATTATCGGGAGTTGTATATTACACAACTTCCATTGCTACACGTTGACACTTAAATGAAACGAGAAGACAATTACTGCCCCGTTGTCCTACTCCACTGCTGGGTGTTAACTTACTTTTTAAACGTACATTTTTCACATATATATATAGACATTCATATATAATCCCCACATGTATCAGTGTATCTGGGTGCCAAGCATAAAAACTGACCTACTTTTACTATCAAATCGGTTTTAGACATTTTTATTTTTTCGTGTTTTAAGTAAAATTAAACTTGTAATTTGGGCAATTTTCATGTTCTTTTAAAAGAGAAAATAAATATCTTAATTCATCATCTATAAGAAAATACTTAGAAAGAAATAAGTTCGTAGTAAAACAAAACAGATTGGAACCAGGAGTTTTAGGTGGGTGACTGAAACCGAGAAATACTTTTAGTGTTACTTTTCACTTGAAGTATAAGATTTGTAACTAAAATTAAAGATTTCACAAGCGGTAAGAAAGTTTTCGTGGCATTTAAGAGTAGCACGAGAACTTGTAACCGGAAATTGGCGCAATACCTCCTACTGCACGAAGTCTATTTTAAAAATGCTGACGCATTTAACTATACCGCACGGAATAAACATTAAAAAAAACTTAATATGTAAGTCTTTTATGCAACAACAGTCGTCACTGCTAATTTTATAAAAGATCATTTCTCAAGTGCATAGTACTAGATCAAATACCTAACGTAATTTAATGATTAACGTGGCGAAAGACTAAGCGAATTAAATATAATGTTACGATTTTTAGTAGGCATGAATGGCTTTACGACTTGTTGAACAACGTCGTAATAAACAAACCAGATTCTTGAAAGACATGATTATAATATTTTGGGATAGACTGTTTGTTGCTTTAACACACCTTGTACACACAATGTGCTAAGCGTCCAGATCAGAAATCCCTGTGGTCAAGACATAGTTCATTCTAATATTAAATTAAGGACCAAAAGGAAAGTAGCACCCACCACCTGATTGATTGTCATTCTTATAACACAACCATGACCGAAATTGCGAAGCGTGATCGGTATTAAAACACCTCGAACCCAAGACTCTTGGATTCCCATTCCAATACGTCAAACAGAAGTCTAAAGTAGAAAGCACAATATAAACAGCATTGAATCATTATTTAAAACATTCTAGCTCTCCAGTGGCACAGCGGTATATCCGCGGACTTACAACACTAGAAAGCGGGTTTCAATACACGTGGTGGGCAGAGGACAGATGGCCCTTTGTGTAGCTTTGTGCTTAACTGCAAACAAAGTATTCTATAACTTCACAAGAAATGCGTATGGAGATAATGAAATATTATATAGACAACAGGAACTGAAAAGTTTCAGTTATCTAGAATGTGTAAAATACATTGGGTGGATTTTGAACTTGGTCTGTAAATTTCAAAAGTAATTCGATTTTAAATTTTACGCTTTGGAAACAACTATGTGTTTTAATTGTTGATTCCTGCCTTTTATTTTTCTAATCTATAAATATTACGAGTGAAGGATTTAGTAAATCTGATGACCTTATTCTTATCCGCCCTCATGTTAACATGGGAAAAGACATTGGTGCAGATAAATTGTTTCTTTTATTGTTACAAACCCGAAGTATTATTTGGTGTACTAAACTTTGCATTTTGTAGCGGTTTTCAAATACAGTGTATACGAATATTGTATAACAGCATCTAATGTCATGTACTCATAATACAGAACCTAATTAAAATTGTTTTTTGTTAAGCACAAACTTATACAATGAGCTAGCTGTGCTCTGCCCACCGAGGGTATCAAAACCTGATTTTTAGTGATATAAGTCCTTAGACTTACCGCTGAGCGAGCGGGAGGCCCTATTTAAAACAACGGCTGATTTATGAAAAACATTAATAAAGAGATAAAGTCATTCACACGATTTCCATGACTCGTATTTAGTCCTATTCTTGATTCAGTCATAGAAGGTTTTGTTTGTGATTAAAGTTTAATTGAATCTTGATAAGAGTTTGTACTTCCTCCTATTTAAACATTTTGGAGAAACGCCAAAACTTTCACATTGAAACAGACACTCTTCACGTGCGTGCTCGCGCCTTTTTATTATTAATTATTGTTTAGTTATTTTCCAATACTCTAGTTAAAAAGAAGTATGCACTTTAAATGATACATATACTTCAACCACTCATAATGAAGAATATAATCATGTGACAACACAATATTTTGCGTTCCAATGAACTCACGTATAATGAATGAATATCATATTTTATTTGGAGTTTAATCTTATAGTTATAAACAAATCTAATAAATGTAAGGTATAGTTGATTATTTTCAAAATGCTGTTTTCTCAAATAAAGAACCCTTTTTATCTTTTTCCTGTGTTATTAGTTGACATTTTTTGTGGTCTGTGCATCAAATGAAATATTCATGTGTTTATACCAATTAGCCAACTGTACATTTTATGTTAAGGATGACCAAGCTTAATGTTTTTAAGTCAGCCAAGTAAACTCGTTTTTTTTTTAAACGATGCAGAAAAAAATGTTCCAGAACATCCAGTTAAAATCTTTATTTGGACTAAAAGAACTGAAATGAGAAAAAGTATACATACATATACAAATAACATTTCGCTAGAGTTCTCTTGATATGAATGATCTAAGCTAAGGAGAGTCATGTTTGACGAGATGATTTTTACGTTTACATCTATTGAAGGGCCGAGCGTGCCTAGTGATTAGCATGCTGAACTATGGATCAAAGGTTCCGTGATTCACTCCCTTTTAACGCCAACAGCAACAAATAATAAAAAACTGTGCTCTGTAGCCCTGGATGCGTTATAACAATGACAGTCAAGTCCAACTATTCGATTAAATAGTCCACGAGTTGGTGATGGGTGGTGTTGACTATCTCTCTAGTGTTTTTTTTTCCTTAGTCTTTGCGGACCGTTGAGCAAGATCTTCCATCGTTCCTAAAGCTGTTTCTTACGTCAAGAATGCAACCCCCTTGACAGCCTTCCCTCTATGAAAGGACGAGCATGTTTGGTGGGACTGGGATTCGAACCCGCCACCCTCAGATTGCGAGTCGAGCGCCTTATCCACCAGGCCATGCCGGGCCCATCTCTCTAGTGTATCATTTCAAAATTAGGTACAGTTCTGTAGAAAGTTTGGACAACACCTACCGTTGTTGCCGCCATCTGTTATCAAACAAATCTCGGCAGACATTAGTTACATCTAAATATCGACAGGGCAGTAAGTATTTGGCTTACTTGTCAATTTCTCGGAAATTAACAACAACAACAAAAATATTAACATTTCTCGCCTTTTCCTGAGAATAAAATCATAAATATATATTGTTGCTCAAAATGTGAACATGTCATTTTGAATTAAATGTTTGTGTTTAACGCATAGAATTTGCTCAACAGGTGTAGAAAGAGCTTAGAAATACGCTGGATAACTGTGCCAGAGATTTCAAAGGAAGAAATATAAGCTTTATATTTAGAACTTTGACCTTTACCTTTTATAACCAAGTCAATATACGGACATCACATATAACAGGGTTCTAGGTCTTCTGAGGGTTACTGATTCCAAAATTTTTATTATTGAAGTAGATGAACGTATGTGAAAGCGTTTTGGGAAAAATAGACTAATGTCAGAGAATGTTTTTTTTTGTTATTGTTTTTTTTTGTCTATAAAAGAAAAACTTTAAAGCCTAGAAGTCAAGCATTAATGGAATTTATGTATCACGAACTCCAAAGTATATTACACATTTTTGTTGCGTGTGTGTGTGTGTGTGTGTGTGTGTGTGCTGCTGTTGACCAAGTTGACACGTTAAGGATTTACATTTTCATTTGTGATTTAACGCTTGTATTTTTGGTTAATTTGGGCTACTGAGTGTTCTGAAAGAAAGTTCCTTGCTATTAAACATCTAAACTACCAGTTAGATATGAATGTTAAGCAACAGGATATACAGAAAATGACCAGCAGTTACAAGCAAAATACGCTGCTTTTTTTAAATACATCTTTGTCCACAGATATACAAAGATGTAACTATTTTAATTCGGTTTAACACGTGTAGAAAGAACAACAAGTAAAACGGGTTATTTCTGCATTCTGTAACTGTTTTAAAATATAACTTGACTCACCTCGCCTCCATGTCCATCAAATACACCATATAAGGCAATGTCGTTTTTTCTATCAATCATTAGACTAAAGCGATCTTCCATTTGAGGCCTCCTGCCTTGTAAAGCGTATACATTAGCATTACCTTCTCTCAATTCCCACGTTCTGAAGTCGTGTTTACCTGATGGAGCAGTGAAAACTCCGAATCCTTCAGCTAAACTTGTAGAATACTGAAGTCGGTTTATCACAGATTTATACCATAACTGTACCGACTGGAAAAAGAAATACAAGCCCAAAAGCAGTAAGCAAATCGCTAAAGTCTCAGGTTTAAGAACGTAACATTGAACGAATGTCGTAATAGATGACATTATCGTAGACAAAGGAGGGAAATTAAAGACTACGTGTGAATAGTCCTTCATCTGGGAAATATATGTTAAACACAAGAACTCGCTAGTCCTACCGTCTCCCATCTCTCAGTTCCCAACAACAGTAAGTAGACTCCATCTGCTGTTTAGTCAAAACGCACATTACGACATCTCGCTGAGATGCGTGGGCGGAGAAGCGTGAAATTTACCGCATGCGCAATACAGAAACCATGCACGTGGTAAAAGTGCAGGAAGAATGTGGTGCCTGATTACTTGCACAGTTTGATAAAAACGTAATTGTTCAGAAATAATTACTGTACTAAGAATACTAAGAACAAACAAACAGTAATATATTTAGTCGTTCGTTTATATATATATATAATGTTTATTTTAAAAGCTATTTTTGCCACTTCATTAATTCATTACAGTGTTAGTTTATTCTAAAATAATACATTCTGAGAGACAATTGTATTCCTACGGTGATTACACATTCTTATCGACTGATACAAATCGTGAATAAGAACTTTTATAGGGAAACCAAAAATTAGGCTTGCCGTGAAATAAATCTCATGAGATTGTGAAAGTATATATTAAGTATTATTAACACTGCCTAAAATGTCTTGATTGAAGAGTAATTAAAAGTTATATATACATATATAACGTCTTTAATGTATTTACATTTCAATATAGAAAAAAGTCATTACAACCCCTAGAGACTCATTAAGTGTACGTAATCATCTCTTCTTTCATGTACTAACGTTTCACTAGTGGTTATTATTACGTTCTTTAGTGAGTAACAGAACAGTTTTTTCTTTATAATTCTTTATTTCGCTTTCATCACATCTGTGTGTGTGTGTGGAAAGTAACTCATGATAAATACTTTTTCGAAAACTTTCACGATAGAAAACGAAATAAAGATTGATTATAGTGTTTTATATGTTGTTGTTGTTGTTGTTTCATTGTGTCTTATTTATTTAACAAATATTTCTTATTCTGTTGAAACAACAGCACACGTCACTCTATGGATAATCCTATTACTTTTAAAACCTCACGAGAGCTCGTTTGTTTTATTTCTGTCCTACGGTGGGACAGTAGTAAGTCTAGGGACTTACAACGCTAAAATTCGGGGTTCGATTTCCCGCGGTGATCCTTTATGCATTTTATCAAAATAACGTTCTTTAATAAAAATTATTTCGATTATTTGAATCAAGTTCGTGATTATGTATTATTATATAAAAAGACAAGTATAAAATAAGAGTAGAACATTAAATTTTTCTTAACTTCTCAAATTATCGATCTGTTTTTATACCGTTCGCTATTGGTGAGGTCCACATATTTAATAGTATTGAGTAATTTTATGTTTCTACGTGTTACAGAACTCGGTTAAAAGAAGGTAAAATCACTAATGTTCTAAGTAAAATCTAAAGTAGACAAGGAACCCCAGCTGCAATTAGCAGGATTAATTGTAATATTGAAGGTATTTTTGTTTAAATTTTCATATGTTATTAGACATTATAACCAATAAATGTATGGACCCACAAGTAATCTGGTGCATAAATTAGTTTAGAAAAATTTGTTTCAAAAACTGATGGGGTCCTCGGATCCCATCGGTAATTTTAGGGTTAAGCAAACCTAGTTTGTATCAATTTTGCCAATGTAGCGCTCTGTGATGACAAATATAGGAAATGTCACCGATATTTGTTTCTTTGTTTTTCGTTTTATTCACATTACAAATTATATACCATTTCATAAAACTATGCTTAAAACAAGATGTGGTCTAATTATTACATAAACAAGATGTGGTCTAATAATTACATAAACAACATTTGGTCTAATAATTACATTTTTATCATTCAACACCCCTAGTGTTTGTTAAAGAGTAAAAACTCTCTCTGCTTTTTGCAATTATTCGCCATCAGGTTTTATAAATGTACAAAATATTGGGGTTATCTTCCGTAGGTCCGCTTATACAAGCGATTATCTATTGTTTCGCCCCCTAATGTCACTTAACCATTGTTATTCTAATATTTTTTTAACTTTGATACTTACAAATTACGTACATTTTCAAATATACGTCGAAAAAAAAGCTCTCTTCTAAATTTATTAATATTTATAACACTCAGCTTTTGATATATTTTCTTATGGAAGCATAAGTGTGTCAACTTTCACGAAACTATGCGAAAAAGTGTAGGGAATAACAAACAAAGCGTAAAACATTTGGTCGTTTGCTGTTAGCTGCTGAAATATAATAAATGACGGATCACTAAGGTTTTACTTTATGTTGTTACATAAATATCAGAAAATCCAATTTTAACGTATAAAAACTATCAAATAAGTCATTTTGAATGAATGATACCAAGGGAAGTTGAATTGCACGTGATCATAGATTATGATGGGTTTTTGTGGAACTTTTTGTACACCTTTGTAATGTAATAGCTGTAAAGCTTTGGGGGTGATAACACCATTAACTTGCAATTGAGGAGGTGTCAGTAAACAAACTGATACGATGGCTATCACAACTTGAGAGTCTTTCTATATATTTATGAAAAATGGTGTTGTTGTAGTTATAAAAACTGAAAAGTCCTCTTTCGCTAGGTATAGATTTTAGAAAATATCTTCCCAATACATCAGTTCGTTCCCAGGATGTTAAATGTACATAAATTCGTTCCAAACATGTCAAAATACCATCAAATCTTTATAATGATGCTAAAAGCACATCAAATAATTCCCAAGATCTTCAAAGTACATCAAATCGTTATCACAATGTCAAAAGTACGTTAAGTTGTTCCAAGTATATTAAAAGCCCATTAGATTGTTCTAAGGATGTTAAACTCACAAAAAATCGTTCTTAGAATATTAAAATCAATTCCAGGATGTTAAAGGTAAAAAGAATCGTTTCCACGATGTCAAAAATACATCAGATCGTTCCCGGGATGTTATATGTTATAAGTACATCAAATCATTTCCAGAACGTTAGAAGCATATTAAATCGTTCCCAGGATATTAAAAACAAGTAAAATCTCTCCAAATGACATATATATATAAGTACATCGAAAAATTCCCCAACGGTTAAAAGTGAGACAACTTTTTCCCAAGATACAAAAAAATATCAGATCTTCTAATTAGGTAGAAAATGCGTCAGCGAAAGAAGTTAAACAGATATGTGTCAGTTGTTTGTGCTGTGTTTACGCTAGGGCTTTAAAATTAGCTGTATCAATATAACATTAACTTTGTGTCATTTAAGTAAAATTAATCATAAAGATTACTTATTTGAGGGACCATAGTAGTAGTCTTACAAACTCATTTTTTTAATATTTTAACACGGAGCGGTTCCAATGCACGCACCACGTAAAAGTCAACACAGCGTTCTCTAGTGGAAGTAAATTAATTTCATCGTAACACACTTTATTGTTTTTTGCGTAATGTTATTTGTTTTCCAGCTTTCATGCTCCTGCATTTCGTAGGAGGTGACAACTGAATAATGTTTCTGACATAGGATTGGCTCTGCAATGAGAACAGAAGCCAATAATAACAGCTTTAAAAAAAGAAAATTTAACATTTTAGTATCGCAGTATTCCAAAAATACCCGCTAAGATGTAATCTAACAATCAGCTCTTAAAACAAATAAATTTCTAAATTTGTCAGTAAGTTATAACTTCTGTTCAAAACGAGTTGATATTACAGATGACCGTTTGATATTTCCATTTACAAGTACAAAGTGGGGTATAATTATGGTCCTATCCAAAATAGTCTCCGATTTGGGCGATAGTCAGATATGTTATTTCTACGGGCATATAAATGCGAGTCTCGTGAAAGTCTTCTAAGCTCTTGTGATATACAGGTATGGACCAATAGCACGTACGTTGATACTGCAGCTGTAGAGAAAACTCGTCGCCAGCTTGGAGTTGACTGGTTTTCTTCAAGATTATTATACAGTTTAAAAATAAAGATGAAGTAAAATATACAACTAAATATATATGGGAACTGTTAATAAAAACCACTTTCTGTTGAATCATTAAAAACTAAAGACAGAAAAAGAGGAGATTCAGGTGATACTTTCACTACCAAAAATGGAATGAATCAGTTAATTCTCCTCGAATCTCAGTTAGGCAATTAACCCTAAACAAGATGAGACGCAGCAAAATGCTACTGTTCTTTTCTTATGTGCAGTAATTGGTGGATCTAATCTGAATAATTAAGTAAAGGTTAAGTGTTTTAAGACAAGGTAACTGCAAATAGTTTTAGACTCTAGAAATTTATTTTTAAAAAACAAATAGGCAGTTGAAAATTAGGACTTTATTACGAAAAATATTATTTGATTTAAAAGAGGAATAATTCTGAATGAATTAATGAGGCCTTAACTTTCACAATCCTAGTTTGTTTACTTTAGATTTTATGTATTATGCTTACGTCTCTATTTTAGAAAATTACTGTTTTGTTTATTCCAATTTATGCGTATTTATGATCATGCTTTTGTTTAGCCTAAGATAGAAACGCAGTTTTTGTTAACAACTGTGCTGTGGTGCATTAACAGAGTTTGTTTTGGGCAGGAAAATAACGACACTTGAGTCCAAGGTAAGCGTATTTAAATAGTATTCTATAATTTGTGTTAACTTTACAAAGCATGCCTGATTTAATTTTGTTTCTTTATACAACACATGCATGTGGAAAGGAAAATAAGAGCACAACCCTTTTATAACTTATTGTTTTGTTGTCGAAAAGAATAAAAAATAGGTTTACAAGAACATACTCGTATATATAGACACAGAGAATAATATCACAATAACAGTTATAAATGCATGTGTTTTTATTACGGTTTTTTATTGTTGCTTTTGAAATTACTGTTTGTAAAATTCGTTCTCATCCGTAATCTTAGTGATGTTTTTACCAAAACCGAAAGTATGTTGTTCTGTTATATTAACAATCGACCTCTGAGTTAACAATATAAAATTACAGCAGCTTCCTAAGTGGGTAAGTTCCCCGCGAAATCCACAAAAACATAAGTAAAATACAGGGAATGGTAAGGTGCTAAGCATTTTGCTACAGTTGGAAAGGTTGAAGGCTGTACCTGTGAAGAGTTACACAAGCCAAAGACGAGCACCTTTTTTGTCATCAGTTAAACCAAGACCAACACGATAATCA